AATTATTATAATCATCCGACCCAAACCGGGGATCGGAACCGGTTTACACACAGAAATCAGTACAAACAGAACCAAAAAATTAGACTGCATCTCTAGTTAACCTAATCGTCGGTGTCTCAACTCCGAGAGCCGCCGACGGTTGCGAGAATAGGGTTTTGTAGTACCTCTTCTTTTTCGATCTATCCGTACCGAAGAAACCGACTCCACTACGGTGACGGTGTCTGAATAAGCCCGATTCCGCCTTTTACGTTGGAGATTTTGTTATCTACAATTGGTGGCTCTTCGAAAAGAGTTGAAGTGAATGAGGTTTATAATTTTTTTCTCTTACAAATTTCGCAATATACGGCTTTAGGTAATTATGTATAGTGATCTAATATGAAAGGAATAAGATGAATAATATGGAATTAACTTTGTATTAGTTGAATGATATTTTGTTTTTAATAACTAGAAACTTGATCAAATGGTGGTCCGGTGGTCTTGAGACTTGAAAAAGAGTTTTCAAGGTCATTAGTTCAACTCCACTTGGGAGGGGTGATTTACATCTTAAATATGATATTATCAACGGTTGGCTCTGCTACCGAAAAGATTATGGATCAAAGATTCCGAACTCTAACGGTTTATCAAAAAGTAAAGATGATACATATTTCACTCTGTCACAATTTGTTTTACACATTATGTTGATTTTTTTTTTGGAACCTTTATGTTGATTTTGTTTTCAACATAAGAAATATAACTGACTAAGGACTATTATGAGCTTTTATTTATGACATTCGTATATCCTAAAAAAAAGATGCAACAATTTCTTGAGATGCAACGTGAAAAGTATTATACCTTTTTCCGGATAATTTCGCACACTAGTTTTAAATGACCATAATATATAGTCTAGTGATTTGTACTAGTGATCGTCGTCCAAGTTTAAAACCTAGCATAATGCATGTTATTGAAATAAAATAGGTTTTAAATTTTTATCCCTGACACTCAAATATCCAAACAAAAGGATGCAGAAAAGGTCATTTGATCACATGCAATAACAAGTATGTGATTACTATAACATATACGAATATGAAATAGAAAATTTGGATGGTCTGTTTCGAGCTCCGTTCGATCGGATAGCCAGTCCCAATTTGGATTGGCCTACATTGGACTTTGCCGATTTGACATCAAACCAAACGTTACGTTTATTATAAGTGTTCCTTCTTAAGGTACTTATATAAAAATCATGTTTTTATAAAACATTATGAATACAAAGGCGGTTTTTTTTGTCAAGTTATACGACTGGCAATATTCATATATATTAATAATATTATGTTTGATACTTTTTTAAAGAATAATGAATTTAAGAATAGAAAGCACATAAACTATCACATCTTTGGGACCATATAAAAAATTTATAAAAAAAATTTGTTGGTCCATGAACAAGCGAATCATAAAGAAATTAAATGAATTAGTTAGAAAACTGAATTTAAAAGTATGTTAGAAATTTTTTTGAAAACTATAATGCAAAAATACATTTTTTTATATTCAATTTGAAATTTCACCATTGGAAACATCCCCAAACTTTGAATATGAAGTTTTGCAAATTTCAAAAGAAGTACCTCTTGGAAGTGCTCTTAATTAGTGCCATCACCAATTTGGTTTATTCTGTATTTAATAGAGAAAACATATTCAAACTTTAATTCAAAGTTATATATGTTTCTTTAGTATAAAATCCTACAAAAACTAAAATTTAAATTTAATTAATTACTTATAGATCTTCAAACTAGCCAACCCAAAAAGGTATAGTAGCCAAAAAGATGGATTTTAGTTACAAATTTTAGTTTTTGAGTATAAATATTAAATGTAAGAAAATGTTTTATATTTTTGGGGAAAAAACCAATTAACCAAAATGATTTTTTTTCTTTTCAGAAACTAAAAGCTGCAATATATAAGAATCATATTCATAAAAACCTAACTCTAGTTAGTTGATCATGAACATCATATTTTAGCATGAAAAGTGTTATATATGTGTGCATGTATTGTTTATATATCTCTTTTAAAAAATGTAATACTATTCAATCTTAGAACATATGATCTTAATTATATAGAACACAAACACATGACATCTATAACTATAAAGATAATATATTTATTTAAAGGTTCTCAGACATAACATAATATCCAACACTTAGAAATATATTACACACCAAAACCATACTTTTACAATATTTTTAATATAGTTGCTTAAGAAACTACTAAGCTTCGCCGGTTTTATTTCTTCAACTCGCTTTGAGAACATCTTGGTGAACCCTTGTCAATTCATGTCATTGTTGAACACAGAGTCCATGAAGTCGTCATCAACCAAATCCTATATAACAAAAAGTTAACCAAAAAAATATGTTACTAGACTCATAAAATTCAAATTAAACTATAGGCAAACAATTTCGTTTTAGCTGTTGTTAAATCGTTTTACCTACTTTCTCACAAACAAAAAAAAATTGTTTTACCTGCGAATCCATCAACCAATCGATAAAATCTGGAACATCTTCTTCCTACAAAATCGAATCCAGGTTTCAGAATAGATTTAAATGACCAATTCGTTGATATTAAGTACTATAGTTTTATGGAACTTTTTAGATTGATATAACTTAGAGGTACCTGATTATGATTAGGGTTCATGTTGAAAATGGAAGAATTCGTCTCCGGAGCAGCCAAGGTGGTCGATGTTTCTCCATTAGAAGGACCCTTCACAACAAAGTGGTATATATAATAAGTCAGTAAGACAAAATATTTATAAGACTAGCGTAAAAGAATATTACAAATCTACTAATATTCTGATACTAAACAAATCTAGTTATAATTTTTTCAACAATAGATAGTATTAATTATAGAACATATGATAATATCCAATCTTTGATAGGATGTTACGTTGATCCAAAATTGAACTTAGTAATTTCTAAAATCTCCTAATAATATTAAATACCTGGTCTATGTTCACAAAGGTCCAGTCACCATCGTCTTCAAGAGAGAAAATCTGATTCATTTCGGACGGAAATGTTGGGAGCTCAAAGTTGGTGGAAGCCGCTTCTCCTCGTTGCTGCTCAAACCATATTTAAGATACAAATCTTACAGCAAGTTCTTC